ATTAGATCATCCCTAACTATATTACAATCAGATAATAACAAAGAATTCATAGCACAAGTTATCAAAGAACTAATCATACTATAGCTATTAGTAAAGATTATAAATAGATGCCTAAGGCACTCCTAGTTACAAGGTTTAGTAGAATATGCTAATGGTACCTTGAAGAAAAAATTTAATAAATGGAGAGAAACTACTAGCTGAAATAACTAGTCATTTAGTTGTAGTTGCTATAAACAATTCATAGTATAGATCATATAAAAAAACTCCCTATGAATTGGTTTATAGTAACAAGCCCTGTAGTAATTATACTTTAGTAAATGAACTTTATGCAAATAATATTATTGACGAAAAGGAAATACTAGATATAATTAAAATTTCTGATGCTGATTACGAAGTAGACTTGAATGATGATATGGCTAATATTAAAATTAATCAGAGTATTTTATTTATTAGATTTTTATTTTTTTTTTTAATACTGTTTATTTTTATTTATTTAGATTTTTTGCCTGAGGATATTAATAATTTATAACAATCACCTGATGGTATTGTTTGTTCAGTCCTTCTACTCGATAATAATATTAGTCATCTTGTATCTTCTTCTATAAGCTCTGTGTTTTCATCTAGAAGCTTTGTGTCTTTGCTCAGAAGCCTTGTATCTTCTCTCAGAAACTTTGTTTCTTCATCTAGAAGTCCAGTGCTATTACATAATAATAATAGTAGTTATTTGGTACTTATTCCTAGTAATTGTGAAAAAAAAGTATTAATTGCAGATGCATATTAAAAGAAAAAAAAATATAGTATTTATTGTGAGTGTATATGAAAAAATACAAATAAAAAATAAATAAATAGAAAGGCCTATATTATAGACATAGTGTTAAAAAAGATGACTATGATAATTATACATAGGAAAGGAGTGTATAATAAATATTGAGCTAGTATTATTTTCTAACAATAATGTTTTGTCTTTGCTAATAACTGTTTTTTAGTATCTTCATTCAACAACTGTGATTTTGTGTCTTCACTTAATAACTATAGTTTGATATCTTCACCTAATACCTATGATCTGGTATCTTTACCTAATAATTGTGGTCTAGTATTTTCACCTAAAAATTCAGTACTTTTATGTAACAATAATAGTAGTTATATTATACTTTCTTCTAATAACTATGATAATTATCTATTGCGAGTGCATATGAAATGAAAAGGACATAGTGTCAAAAAGGACGACTATAACAATTATGCACAAAAAAAAGATGTATAATAAATAGTGAGCTAGTATTATCTTCTAACAATAAATAGTTTGCCTTTATCTAAATAACTGTAGTCTAGTATCTTTACTTAATAACTGTAGGTTTACACCTTTATTCAATAATAGTAGGTTTATACTTTTATCTAATAACTATAGTTTAGTATTTTCGTCTAATAATAATTATAGTCTGGTGTCTTCGCCAAAAACTCAATGTCTTTATATAATAATAATAGTAGTTATATTGTGATTTCTTCTAATAACTATGATGATTATCTATTGTGGGTGTGTTATGAAAAGAAAAAAAAAATAGAAAAGCTTATCTCACAGACATGGTGTTAAAGGATAACTATGATGATTATGTATAGGGAAGGGGCATATAAGAAATTTTAAGCTAGTATTTTATTTTCTAACAATAATGCTTTATCTTTACTAATAATTATCTAGTATCTTCATTCAATAACTGTAATCTGATGTTTAACTATCATCTGAAGTCTTCATCTAAAAATTCGATACCTTTACATAATAGCAAAAGTAGTTATACTGTGCTTTCTATTAACAACTGATAATTATTTATTGTGGGTGCATACAAAATGAAAAAAGTATTTACTATAGATACATATGAAATGAAAAGGACGTAGTGTTAAAAAGGATAACTATAACAATTATATACTGAGAAAAGGCATATAATAAATAGTATGCTAGTATCATTTTCTAACAATAATAGTTTGTCTTTGTCTAATAACTATGATTTAGTAGTTTCATCTAATAATTGTAATTTTGTGTCTTCACTTAATGACTGTAATCTAGTATCTTCGCCTAATAAATATAGTCTAGTTTCTTTACCTAATAACTATAGTCTAGTGTTTTCATCCAAAAATCTGATGCTTTTACATAATAACAATAGTAGTTATACTATGCTTTCTTCTAACAACTGATAATTATTTATTGTAGATGTATACAAAAAGTATTTATTATGAGTA